ATCGGGATGGGTGTGTCAGAGGCGGTGCGGTTGGCGCAGGATAGATCAGGGTTTAGGGCTGTTGTGCATAGGGTTGCTATGAGTCGCAAACGACTCGACGGCACATAACAACAACAACAACAACAACAACATGGTATACAGCTGTCCATTTTATTTTTAAAACGACATGTATGTAGAGTTCTACGTATAAGCGTATTTGTATCACATATATGCATTATATTTAGAAGTTCATCCATCAAAAAGTTCCTGTGGCACAGTGGGTGAAAAATGGCCTCTAACCAGAAGGTCAGTGTTTTTAATAGACCAACAAGAAATCTCTCAGAGACCCTATAGGGCATCCTGTGGGGGTGTTATGAGTGGGAATCAACTCTATGGCAGTAAGCGGTTTTAACAAAGTGTTAACAATAGTTAGAATAATGTTTCTAGAAACACTGGTTTTTCTTTCCTTTTCCTTGTATTTAAGTGTTCTACAAGAAATATACCATAACTTAAAAAGAAAGAGCCAAGACACCAGTCTATCATTTTGACATACCATTGTCTCCTCCTCCAAAAGACCACACAGTTCTTCCATCTTTAGATAAAGCAATAGTGTGTGAACTGCCACAGGAAACCTCTCCAACATTGCTAATATCTTTGACTAATGTTGGAATATTGCGGCTGTTACTGTCACCGTGACCTGGGATAAAACGTAAGCATCAGAAAAATAAGGTTGAATTAACTCTTTTTCTCTAAGCCCTTACTTTACAGGCGGAGTAAATATTTAAGTTAATAAGATTAAAGTTTTGAGTGCATGCACATGCTTTTTAAAGAAATCTGAAAACCTGAATCATTTCCAACAGATTCACAATCAATCCTCCAAGCTATCCTAAAACTGATGCACCCTTCCTATACCATTTGAACAATCTATTTATGCTGTTCTTTCGGAGGCCTGGTGGTGCAGTGTTTAAAGGACAGGGCTGAGAACCAACAGATCAGCAGTTTAAATTCATCAGGCATTCCTCAGGAGGAGGCTGTAGTAGTGGTTTGCTTCTGTTATGATTTACAGCCAGGGAACCCTATGGAATAGTATGACTCTGTCCTACAGGGTTCGGAGTCAGACACTCCATGGCAGTGGGTCTCACAGCACTTAACTAATGCTATCTTGTATCACAATCATGTGGATCTATTTGCACTACTATAAGATTATTAACTTCCAGTTCACCATCTTTAATACTGAAACTCTCCACCGTCGACTCACAAAACACACTGAGTAAATACTTGCTAGATTGAACTACATCTTAAACATCAGCACTAGAATCTACATATAATTTAACTTTCTTCCTCTAATCTTAAAACTAACAAAATGTGTAACAGTCATTGGCTATCAAATTGACTTATCCTTGCTTCTCTGTAACTATCCTAATTTGTTATTCTGATACAGTAACTTTTAAAAAGTCTTACCTAATCGTCCAAAGTCTCCTTCACCCCATGTGTATAATTCACCATCCTCTGTCACAGCTGCACTGTGTCTATATCCAGCTGATACACAAACAACTACCTGAATTACACACAAAATGAATTTGATGAGCACATAAATGCTAAAGCATATAGTTCTTTTACAGTTGATCCTATGCACAGAGACTCAGGGATGCTGACATTTACATTTTACCTAGAAATTGCCATGTATCACTTTAGAGGCTGTATCTAGCCAAGATAGAAAGTAAGAGGTGAAATATACATTATGTTCTACTTGTAAACCTAGCACAGGAATGCATTCACCTGAAGGAGAAGATACTTTCTGGAATTCACACAAAGTCAGTGTAAGGGTTAGCAGGGACCCTAACTTGGTCAATTAAATCACTTGTACAATTACTGTGTAACCAATCAAGCCTGTATGCAAAAAGTCGGGAAGAAACAAGCATTCACAGAACAAAGTCAATTTTTAAAGTGTTAATAGAAGACTTCCAGTCTTGACTGATAAGAAAAATTGATTACATCATAGGAATAACTCTCAAAAAAGAAACTACTACAAATTTTAAAATCTATGTAGTATAGGCTTATATTAAATTCTTTATATACCTCTTTATATTTAAATTGCTAAGCAGTTGATATATGGAATCAAGATAATACAAATAAACTGCAGCAACATTTTTTAACTCTGACAAAAATCAACTGCTACTGAAGAAGGATAAATAGAAAAAATATCTACACTAAAGTGCAACCAAGGTGCTCCTTAGAGGCAAGGATGGTGAAGCTTCCTCTCACATGTTTTGGGCACGTTGTTCAGAGAGACCACTCCTTAGAAAGACATCACGTTTGAGAAGGTGGTGTGTCAGTGAAATGGAGGAAGACCTTTAACAACATGAACTGACACATGACTACAACAATGGGTTCAAGTGTATCAGAGATGAAGAGGATGGCACAGGATAGGGCAGGGTTCCAATCTGTTGTTCACAGAATCACTGTTAAATCATAGTTGACTCAATGGCAACTAAAAATAAGAAGTAGCTTTATATCTTCTTAATCTCCAAAATCCAGAGGTCACTTTAGGAAATTAAGTTTATATGCAATTAAAAATACTGAATATTTAATACATGCTTGGTACTATGTGAAGAGCTACTGATATTTTTATCTATTATTATTATTATTAAATTGTATACATTTTTAATTCACACTATTTATACTATGTTACATATTTGTATTATAAAACTGAACTTAAAAAAGGAATATAAGGAAAGCAAATTACAAAATATTATAATGAAGGAAAAATAAGACACTAGAAAGACCAAGAAAATATAACTTCAAATAGTATTTAAGTTTCTAAGGATCCATATTCAACATTTTATAATGCATCCTCTGATGTTTTAAAAGTGGACTATGCCAAAGTTCATTTCTTTAGGTTTGGTATTTAAGGTAAAGTGTTAGAAGTTATAATAATGTAAAATTATTTTGGTGCCCACGATGTCAAAGAATCTCTTATGAAATGAAATGTGCCATTACAATTCTGGAATGAAATTGAAATTTTATAAAGAATTTCATATGATGAAACTTTCACAGGAAGAATGTAACCTTATAATGGAAGACTATTTAAAAGATGAGGAAAATACTTTCATTTCTTTAAAAAAAATAAAAGAGGAAAACTAAGTTGAATTGTTTCAAATACTAAAACATGACTGAGAAAGTTATTCAACTCTTCTCAATTACTTAACTACCTTAAATATCTCCTCTTCAAAGTCTCTGAAAATGCCACTTCTTCTGAGATAACATCTGACTTTATTATCTACTATCACAACAGGCATGCTTCTATTTTTTTCTCTAAACCTATCGGAAGTATTTAGTTTGTTAATCTTCTCTAGCTCACTCAATTAAAGGATCTTGTTTGCCTTGTTTACTGCTGTTTTTCTAGTGCCTGACAAGACTACTTGGTACTTGAAGACAATAAACATTTCATGGATGCTTTCCTATTTGTAAAATGAGAATTAAAAATTACCACACAAACCTGTTACAGGGTTAAAATGAAGTATTATATGAAAAAGTGTATTTATAAAAGATAAGTCAAAGGGTAGGGTGAGCATCTTCAGAAAGAGCACAGGACAATCATCAATTATACCATCACAGCTTCTAATTCTCTAAAATAGAGGAGAAGGAAAAGTACATACCTTTCCCTGCAGAGGGCCCTGGATAAGTTTGGGATATTTTTGTGTTGAACTATTTCCATGTCCCAGTTTCCCATAATCACCATCTCCCCAGCTAAAGACTTCTCCTTCTGTTGTAAAAGCTAAAGTGTGGCCATCTGATCCTTTGGAAGATGAAACCTTCTTGATGGATCTGTGAGGCTCAAATGTTAACTTTTTTAAAGTAGACTGATTATTGGAATCTCCGAGGCCCAGTCGCCCATAGCTGCCTTTACCACAGGCTCTTACAGAGCCGTCTGTAGAGATTACAAAAGTGCAATACTGTCCAGCTTCAATCTACAAACAAACAAATAAAATCATAAATATAAAATGCTTCTATGATAATCGAAGTACAATATTTAAGGCTAGTTTTTTTAAAAAGTCTAGAAGGAAGTTTTTTAAAGCATAATACAACATGACTCTCCATAAAGAACAATAGAAAATTAAACAATGTTCTTTCTTCTTGTTGACTATTATCAACATTAAATTCATGTATCTTTTCTTTCAAGGTTATCTAAAGGTAATGGATGAATAAAACAATAAAGTAAAATTTTTTTCTTCTTATAATTTGGGATAAGCAAGAAATAAAAATTTTCCTATAAATTCATTAAAGTCACTGTGAGAAGAACTACAGTAAATTACTATGAATCTATTAAAAAAAGTTTTAATGAAAAATAATAAAACAGGTAAAAAAGGTTCTAATTTGACAAAAATATAAAAAAGTTATCATAATAAAAAAACAACTTTGCAAAAAGAAAATTATAGTTTTTATTGAGTCTCATTCATGATTCATGCTGTATACAATGGTAAAAACTACTCTTGTTTATAACTTTTTAAAAAATCCAGGTTCCAATTTAACTTTTAAAACTTGGAAGAGTTATTATGTTATGGGGAATAAAAGATATTTTTTACTATTCAAGTGAAAAATTGCAGTATAATATGAAAACACTGTAGATAAGAACAATAAATACAAATTTTTTTGCTCAATTAAAAAACATTCTTTATATTTTAAAAACAAATATGTACAACTTGTAAGCTGAAAGCTATGAAGACTATAGAGAACTCACAGTCTGAGCATCAGAGAAACTAGGAGCCAGCTTAGGCTGCAATATTTTCTCCTGTGTGCCTTCTACTAACTGATGGCTGCTGTTGCTCCCCCAGACATAAACCTCACAGGTTTCCGAGACGATGGGAGCATCACCAGTCTGAATGCTATCTGGGCTAGCACACGTTCTCGAGTAATCAGAAGCCATCCTGCAAACCTATTAAAATAAAAAACATGCAACACATAGTGAGTATTTCATCACCCATTTTTATACTTTCCTTCTTCTAATACTCTTAGCTGCTAAATAGAAGGCTATCCTGCAAAAAGATGAAAGTCCAGAGTAATTCAACATGTTTGTGTCCAAGTATTTAAAATACAAATATAAAATAAAGTCATAAAAGTTCCACGCCTCATTCACAGAGGCACAGGATCCAGGATGGCCACCCCAGTTGCCCTAAAAAAAGAACTTATCTAAATGAGGTGTCAATCCATACTCTATTTACACCAAAAATGGGTATTATATTTTTAATTTCTGCAAATTCAAGTGGGGGGAAGGAATCCCATTACTTTGGTATCATATTTCCTTATTATCAGCAGAACTAACTTTTAATCTATTTGTTTACTATATTTTGTGAAGTGAACTAACATCTGCCATTTATTAAACTTAATGGGGTTTTTATTGGCCTGTATGCAATCAATATAAGAGAGATATTAACTCTGACTCCAGTATTGCCTACTTTTTCATTTTCTTTGACTAAATCCTATCAAGCAAAACAAAGAATCTTCAAAAATCAATATATCTGGTTTGCCAGCCCTTAAATAGTAAGATACAATTTTAGCTAGGATTTTTAAAACATTACCCAAAACAAGAAAATACATGTATAAATATTTTTTATGAACATGAAGCCATTAGCAAAATATGGAGAAGTGAAAGCTGAAACCAATTTCTTGCTGTAAAGTCAGTTTCAACTCATAGTGAAGCAACATCCCGGGCAGAGAATTATCCCCATGGTGTTTCTAGCACTGTAATCTTTACTGAAGCAGTCACAGCTTTTCCCCACAGAGCAGGTGGTGGGTCTGAACTGCCAACCTTTTGATTAACAACTGAGTGCTTAAGCAATGAACCTTCAAGGCTCCTGATTCCTAATAAGAGATTTTAAATTATACTGTTGACAAGAAGAAGATGGTATGACAAGAGGGCTACAATTTTTTTATCTAAAGATCTATAACTACAACTGGGCTTATTATACGAAATCACAGGAAGGAGCTCTGGTGGCCTAGTGACAAGAAGCTGAACTGCAATCCTGAAGGCACTAGGTTCAAATCCACCAGATGCTCCACTGGAGAAGGAGGGGCAATCTCTTCCTGTACCAGTGGTATCCAATTCAATGGTACACACTCAACAACAAACAAATAAAACTTTTAAAAATCACAGGAAAAATGAAAGGTGAAAACAAAATCTAATCAGAGAACATTTCTTAAAAATCTGATGGGTAGGTAGGATTCTGAGAAAATGGCATAGTAGAGTTCTCTAATCACTCTGAAACAGCACACAGAGAAACTGGAAAGCAAAATTCTAAACCTATGTTTATCATTCACAGCAAAACTAGGTGATAGCACCAATGATTCAAAAATATAATTAGGTGAGGACAAAGCATTACTTAACACAATACCAGAACATGCCATCATCTGTGCATGAGGAATCAACAATATTAACCAGACCTCAGACTAAGAGAAGCCCAAAACAGTCAGTCAGCTGAAAGTATAGTGAGCCAATCTGAGAATAGCAAGTGCAACTGGGAAGGGTCAGCCCTCTCTAATAAGTGAGTTCAAGAGGTCTATGATGAGAAGATCGAAAATATATTCTGCTTTGTCACTGACTAGTCAAAGCTCACTTATAATACAGGGTTCACACACTAAAAGGAAATTACTGAAAACAGAACCAGAAAACAGTAGGAGAGTAATAACAAACAGAAAAGGAAAACATTGTTAAGAGAGAAACAAGCTGGGAAACCACCCTTACAAAATTTGTTTTTGTTTAAAAAATATTATATAAAAACAACTATGAAGTAGAAAAGCTATCTTAAATCCCACCCACATTCTAAAGGCTCAGGACAAGGAATTTCACATAAAAGGAACATAAAAGTATCAAGGTCAAATCTCATACAAAGTTACTATAAGAAAGAAAGAACAGTGTGTGGTCCTATTACTCTAAACGTGCCCAATCTGATTAGAAACAAAGAGGATAAGCAGAATAATAAAAACTATAGGTCTATAGCCCACAAAGCAAATCAAATCGTAATATATTTCAGTTTGCAAACTTTCACTCAGAATAAAAATTTACCATATTTAAAAAGATGATAAAAGAGATTAGTGAATAAAATGAGGTGGAAGAAAAATGGGAATGTGAGTTAGAAAGACTCAGAAATGAAATGACAGAACTCAAGAAAGAATTAGAAATAAAATTTCATTTTCAAAAATTAAGACAGAGTAGCACGCTTAGGATTTTCAAGGGGAAAAAATGTGAAGCAAAGATATTATAGTCTCAAAATCAACCTTCAAGTGTAAAGGGCAAAGCAATTATCAACATGAAAAATTTCAGGAAATCTTGTTCCTGGGAACCTTTCTTGAAGAATCTGTGAAACAAGGAGCTTCAGAGAAAAAGGGGGGGTAGGGGAGACTATAAAGATATAAGTACAGACACCAGTGGTTAGCTTTAAATATGTACCTAATTACTTGTTAAGCTTAGATTAAATGATAGTTAAAAGGCAGAAAGCATGTAATAACCACATGCTCTGACTGTGTAGATAAAATATAACTATAAAAGATGAGGAAAGCATATGTTTAAAAACTTAATGGGTTTCGTAATCATATAAAAGTACTATTTATCTTGTTATTTTAAGATTGGGGGAGTGTGTGTGAGAAAAAGAGAGAGAGATGATTAAAACAAATGAGTAATTATAGGATATTCTGATTCTATTACCACTCCATCTTTGAGAAGCATCATCTTCATTTTGAAGATAAAATTAATGTAGAAAATGTTAAGTAAAAATTCTGTAATTATATATATATATATAATAATTTTTAAATATGTATGTACCTATACCATGTTATAAAATACAAGTCTAGAAACAATGATCAAATTGGTATTGATGAGCATCTCTGGCACCTTGATCGTGGTCTATGTCTCACTTTAACACACATATACACAAGCCTTTTAGATAAATAGCTAACTGAGCCCAAGTCTGGCCAAGAAATGTAAAAAAAAAAATTGTAAATAAGACTGAACAATTTGATATATTAGACAGCAAGGAAGTTATCAAAGATCACTAGGCTTATGCGAAAAGAACTTAGGAGTTATCCTGCAAAGGTTCCATTGGTCAAGGATGGAACTATACAAACATCATTATAATTAATATTTCAATAGATTTTAACTTAAACATGCTTAAATCCATCAGCTCATAGTACTATTTTTAAAACAAAATTAATTAGTCAAATTTGGAAGATGACAGGGAGTCAATTTATTAAAACTAGTAAATTTTTTTAAAAGGAAAGGCAGGGGAGAATCAATCATTTAGCCTGCCCTTCCTATATGAACTATAACAGAATTAGCAAGGAATCAAAGGCAGAAGCATCTCTCTGTAAAAACATTTCAACTAATAAATGAAAAAAAAAGATATTAAAGAAGTTGAAATCTTGAAGCAACAATGAGTTAAGGGATTTCAGCATAAGTACCAAGGAACACTGTTACCACAGAGAGATGACCATTCATCATGCTTTTCTTGATGCAAGACTTCCCTATCATATGTAGTCTTCTGAGCGAAAATAAACCTAAGATTGAGCTGAGCAAGTCACTGAAACTCAAAAAAATACAGGGAGACAAAACAACTATGAGATATCATCACACCACATTCAGAATAGCAAAATTGAACAGAACAGCAAACATCAAATTCTGGCCAGGTTGTGGAGAAACTGGAACCTGTTGGTGGGAGTGTAAAATGGTGCAACCACTGTGGAAGGCTGTATGGCGCTTTCTCAAAAAGTTGCAACTAAAAATACCATATGACCCAGCAATTCCACTACTGGGAATTTATCCTAAAGAAACCATAATTGCCATTCAAGCAGATAATATGCACACTCATGTTTACTGCAGCTTTGTTCACAATAGCAAAGAGCTGGAAACAACCCAAGTGCCCATCAACAAATGAATGGATAGAGAAGCTCTGGTATATTCACACAATGAATACTATGCAGCACTGAAAAACAAGGAACTCATGAAATAGTATGCAAAATGGGTGACCCTGGAGGGCACTATGCTGAGTGAAATATCTCAGCCACAAAAGAACAAACATTGCATAGAGCCACTGTTGTAAAATGGGACTGACACTGGGGTTGAGAGAAGACAGAGAAGGAGGGGAGGAATGATGTATACTGCATTGAAACAGATGAGGGAGAGAACTGTTTAAAAGGGATATATGATTGGGTATTACTGTCATGACAGGAGTCCAGAATAAAGGCTGCACAGTAGATTGGACTTGGGGGGAGAGATTACATAACAATAAAAGAGGGGTTTGTTTGGGTTTTTTTTTTACTTTTCAAGGAGAAGAGTGAATAGGGGAGGCAGGGAGAAAAGTACAACAATGAATGATTGGAAACCCTAAGTCTCTGTAAGCTTTAATTATAATTAATTTAAAAAAAAAATACAGGGAGAAACATACTGAGCTGAATTCCCAGTAATCAGTAGAATTAAGATTGAGGGAAATTCTACAGGCTAAAAAAGTCCAAGTTCCTGAACAAATATATTTGAGGATCATCAAATAATGAAAAAACTGAGTTGGTTCACTCATATAATGTTCTTCAGTCCCTCTCATATGTAATAATTTTATACTGGTTAACATACAAAGGTCATAAAGTTCATATACATTGTTTTTCACACCAGACCTGCATCCCATAAGGACAAATACTGTATAAAACCATTATTGTAGAATGAGTACGGGAATCTAAGGTGGGGGATGCTGGAAGTAGAGTGGTGAGGATGTGTGTGGGGGGAGGGATTAATCATGGGGTCATACAACTTGATGGGTGGGGGAGCTGAGGGAAATGCAAATGATCTGGTGTGAAAAATAATGGATTTGAATTTTATAAGTAAACTAGTATAAAAAATTAGAAAGGATTCAGGGTTCCAGTTTCTCCACAACCTCGCCAGCATTTGTTGCTTGCTGTTCTGTTAAATTTTGCTATTTTGACTGGGGTGAAATGATATCTCATAG